CACCCGGCCCCAGGGGTGACAAGGGAAGGCCCGTCGCTGTTTGCTGGTCAAACACCTGCCCCAAGTCCCTTGCAGCAATTCTTTGAGTGTCCGTGTGTCCCACCCAGGGGGTCCTTGACCGGCCCCCAGCCCTGTCCAAGCCAGCCTCCAAGGTGGCCTCCAGAGGGCGCTGTTGACATGCTAATCTCAGAGATTTACATTCCTCTCCGGAGCTTGCACAATTCCTACAATTTCCCACCCCGCTGCCCCAAGTCCAGCACTGGAGCGGCCGCACAGAGACGTCACTCACGCCACAAATGCCTGACATTGAAGAGAAACATTGGACGGCGTGCAGAAGCCTGGGGGGACGCGACCGGAGGGGCCCAGGATGCGCCACCCCCAAATGTGCTACTTTGGCAGAAAAATGGAGCCGAAGGCATTTGAGTTCCCGAAAGCGCTTATCCGCCTCCACCCAGGGCCCCTAGGAAGCAAAGCCAACGCTCGTAAGTCCCGCCTTGTGATTCTCTCTGATTTTCCCTCCCAGGAAAGGCGGAGGGCGGCTCTCCCAGACAGACCTTGTTGCAAACCGTCATCTCCCATCCGTTCTCCCGAGGGCCCACCTGTCACTCCTAAAAGTCATCTGCTCTCCCATATGCGCTGCTGTCCCGTCCCCTGCCCCCATTACGAGGCACGTCAGCTCTCTCTCCAGCCTCACCGTTCCTTAGGCATTCACGTCTTTCTGTAATGCCCCGAGTACCTAAAATCAAAAATCAATACATTTCATTGATAAAATTAAAAATTGCTAATGCCCCCCGTGAAAATGTCTGTCATCGGTTTAATTTGCAAGCCCCAGGTGCAGAACGTAAGTGGGCAGAGGAAGAGGCTTCCCCCTGCCACAGAACAGAAGTGTACCCACGAGATCGCTGTGGGTCGGTACTACTTGGTTCCTCTTGGCCGACACTGGCTAGGGGCAGCTGGCCTGCTCCTCGGTCCAGGAGGGGACCTCCTGCAAGCGGCCCGGTGCCCCCAGACAGGTGGTGCCCGTGGGCTCGGCCTGGATTCACCTCTGGGCCCCTGACTGGCCGGGAATCGTCATGTGACTCTAGTCTAAGGAGGATCTCATGGGTCCTTGTCACAGGTCCGCTTTTAGGGAACGTGGCCCAAAAGAGACGTTGGGAGAAACACTCGAGCTGGGGCTCCACGGTTCTTCGAGTGGCCAGAAGGGCCCACGACAGGCAGCGGGTGGCGCTGGTTCACGCATCGGCTTGCTTGCCACTCAACGGAGCAAGTTCTGCTCCCCACAAGTGGACTCTGGGGACTGGGCCACCGGCCGGTTTTACAAGCTTTGAGAGCAACTGCCGTGGGTCCAGGAAGGTTGCCCAGGAGTGAGTATTTAACGAGCTGGAACGTTCTGGCAGAACTTCGCACTGCGTTCAGGAAACGCTGGGCAGCTGCCCGGAGGACAAGTGAGGTGCCCAAGCCAAGGCAAGGGGCCCCCCAGCTCTCTCCCTCCTCGTACCGATCTCCCCGGGCGTGGGAAACCCCAGATCCCCCGCAACACGGCATCAGTGAGGACAGCGGACCCTGGGGTGGCTCCCGCGGGCAGAGGTGGCGTCGGTCACCCTGTCTCTCCCCCGTGGCGGCACGGGGAGCAGGGAAAGGCTTGGCATCGGGTGCAGCATGGGCGGGAGGCCAGCTCTGCGGAATGCGGAGCCATCGTGTGGGGAGGGCAGGGGCGGTGGGGACACTGGCACCGGCTGCGTGTCCCAGGTCGCGCGTCAGGACTTGGGACAAGAGGAGGGCAGGTTTGTGGGGGAGGGACGCAGGAAGGGGGCTGCCCCGCCTCGCCGGTGAGGCAGGGTGCTGGCCCTGGCCGGCTGGTGGCTGGTGGCGTGGAGTAGATGGCTCGGCCCCGCCTGCTCCTCTCCGCGGGGTCCCCTCGTGCTTCCGGGGCTGGCACCAAGCCCCCTTCCCTCACGCTCCCACGCGCCAGCCCCCGGGTCGGAGCCAGTCCCGGCCTCTCCCTCCATGAGTGTGTTTTGAGCATCAACTGTGTGCCCAGGGCTCAGGACGCATGCGCAGAGGACACGAGAGTTGGGAACCAACCAAGAACTGGAGGTGAGACCGAGACCAGGCAGGGCCGGGCATCCCCGCCTCAACACTGGCCAGCAGCCCCGCCAGCCGCGCTAATCTAACTCACCGAAAATGAAGCGACCGAAGTGTTCTGTCCCTCAGTGGCATTGGCCACGTGCCACGCGCTCAGCAGCCACATGTGGCTGGTGGCTGCGGTATTAGTGCTGTTGGAGAACTACCATTCCAGAAGGTTCTATCGGAAGGCGCCGGGCCCAACGGTCCGGTCTGGTGTGCTTCCATTTCCGGTGAGGACAGAGCGTGGGCTGAGTGGAGGGCACACTGTTTGCTTGGAGACCAGGGCGCGGGGAGCTGCACACACACACAGCAGGGAGCAGGCGGCGGGGGCCACTTCCCGGGGGCCACTTCCCAATGAGATGCACTGTAGCAATGACCACGTCGCAGTTGTAACAGTGTAATAGAGTTTTGCAAAATGTTACCACTGGGGGAAACTGGGCAAAATGTTATTTCTTGCTACTGCCTGTGAACCTACAATATCCACTGCAAAATTGTATCATCTTGATGGCGCCTTTTCTGGTGCCCTCTACACTGCCTGCCCAGGCGAGGAGCTCCCCTCCCTCATCCTTCACTGGCCCTGGCCCTGACTTGGGGCGGCTGCAAGACAGTTTCCTGCCATCGCCAGCCTGGCACCAGGCCCCGGCGAGGGAGTAAAGCCGTCCTGGGCACGGGGGTTGTGGCTGACAGTGAAGGACCACAGGCTGGACGGGGTCGAGTCAATGGGCTGACGACCTCAGGCCACGAGTGACCAGGGCTCAAACCCATAACTCTGCAGGTGGGTGCCACTTCAGACGTGCATCCCATTAGAGGCACCCCCAAGGGCCGTGGGCACGGGCTCCCTGGGACCCCAGAGCCCAGAGCCCCTTAGACCCCTGGGGACCTCCAGCTCACCCAGTGAGGGGGATCCCTCTGCCCTCAGGTCGACCTGCTCCACCTCGTTTCCCTTTAAACCCATTTCTCTTCCTTTCAGGTGAGTCCCTGGGCTTCTTCTGGAGGCAGGAGAATTAAAGAAGACAATGAGATGGGGTGATGTACAGGGAGGGCTTGTCACTGGGATTAGTAATAATGACAGGACTGAAACGTGCGCAAGTCCCTGAGCTCTGGGGAGGAGACACGCCTGTGAAGCAGAGTCTCTAGACTCAGTCCTGTCGAGTTTTTTTTCTTTTTTTTTTTAATCAGGAAGAAAGTCACCCGTTTAATGTGCACCTCCTCCCTCCAGTTCCGGGACGTCCTCACCACCCTCCAGCAAGCTCCGTCCCCAGTCCCCATCGGCAGTCACCCCTCCCCCTCCCCAGCCCCTGACAACCGCGAACCCACTTCCTGTCCCCGTGGACGTGCCTGCTCTGGACGTTTCACATCAGTGGAGTCACACACCGCGTGACCCGCGTGTCTGGTTTCTCTTACTTAATTTTTTAAAAATAAAATCAGTTTTCAAAAGTTTTAGTTTTACAGAAAAACTGAAGGTTATCGGGGGGTTTCTGTACCCCTGCCCGTTTCTCTTTTTATCAGCACCAAAAGTCAATGTCTGCCACTGTCCTATCAAGGGGAGCAGAGACCAGGTCCCTACGGCACAGCGAGGTCCCCACCTGATCCGGGTGATGGCTCCCACGTGCTCAGCCCTGTGCTGGGACATGCGTGGCTGATGCCTGTGGGCAGCTGGGGAGCCCGAGCTGGCGTCCCTGTTGACCCAGGTGGGGACTGGGCCCAGGGGGCCTGGGCAGCTGGCCAGCTGGGGAAAGGCTCCCGGCCGCTCCAGCTCCGGGATTTCCCTGTGGCTCCTGGAGGGACACGTGGCAGGGCGGGCCTGAGGAAGCCACCAACACAAGATCCACAGCGGACTGGGAACAGGCTGTGCCCGCTGCAGGAATTGGAGGTGGCGGGGGCAGGGAGCGGTCAGCTTGGCAGAGCTGGACATGGCTTGGTGCCACCTGGAGGGTGGTGGCTTGGCCTGTGGCACATACCCTTCCCCCACACACATATGCCAGGGCGAGTAAGGGACAAGGGAGGGACCTGGGGAATTGAGAGAGGGCCATGGGGGCTGGTGCTGGTGGGGGCTGCCTGGGGTGGGGGGGGCAGGTGTTGGCTGTGGGGCATGAGAGGAGGGCCCTGGTCTGGGTGGCTGAACGAACACAGGGGCCAGGCTCCAGGGGGCCCAGGTTTCCTCCTGAAGGGCCAGGTGGGGGGTGTCCCCGCTGTTGAGCTTGGATTTCTAGGCAGGAGAGGGGTGACCTGCTGCCCCCGCTGTCCCGGGGGATCCTGGTCCCCACACCTTACCAGGTACACCTTTGCTTCTGCCAGCCCAGACCCCCACGTTCTCCAGGCTGTCCCCCGGTGCCAGCGGCTCACCACCTCACTGGCCTTGCATTTGGCATTTTGTGATCTGGCACCAACCCCACCAGGCCTGTCAACCCTCACCGGGATGGCTGAGGGTGGCAGTGGGTCACCGGGTCCTTCGGGCCTATGGTGGCAAGCACAGCCCTCCCACGAGAACAGTGGCCGGTCTGTGCCCTGCCTACGTCCCTTGCATGCTGTCCCCCCAGGGCAGGTAGAAGCGCCCACGAACCCTGCACAGGTGGCCACACCAGCCAGGAGTGGGACAGTCTGTGTCCACGGACAGATAGACGGACATACTCAGCCGTCCAAACAGGGGAGGGTCACTGGGCTGTGAAGGGAGGCGCTGACGCTCACTGCCACGTGGACGAACCTTGAACACACGAGGCTCCCCAGGCCACCCCTGGACGGGCCACCAGGGACTGCTGGCCCCCACCCCCCACGTACCGCCTGCCCAGCCAGACTCCAGAGCCAGCGTCACTGTCCTGGAGGTTCAGGGCAGACTCCTACGTGGCAGCAGAACAGCAGATGCGGCACACACGTGTTTTTACGAGTTTTATTAAATCCTTATAAAACAGAATACAAAATTCCGGCATTGACAGTTGGTGTCAAGAAAAATTTCTGAGCTGTCAGCCCACCTGGTGCAGCGGAGTTAAAGTGCTTGGATGTTTTTCCCCCACTTTTAAAAAATGTCTTTTTCATCTTTTTTTTTTTTTACACATCTTAAGCTGAAACGCTGGTGTCCGCTCCCCCGCGGGGCGGCCTGGGGCCCTGGTGCTCATTCACAGTAAGGGCGCACCGTGCAGGGGAGGGGACAGGAGATGGCAGTCACGCGGGTCCAGGCCGCTCACAGCTCGGCTGCCAGGGGAGTGGCTGCGGCCCATTTCTCCTCCAGGAAAGGCAGAGCCGCGGGATGGCCGTGGAGCCACGCGGGCGAGGTGCGGGTGGGGCGGCTGCCACCCAGGGTCTTTGGAGAGGCCAGTCCACAGACCGGGCGAGCAGGAACACGGAGGGGCGTCGGCCCTCACCCGCCACCACAGACTATATCGATCGTACAAGACTCGGGGGGCTCAGACATGGCGTCTGGGCCCCAACCCAGGAGGACCCCGACATTCAAGTATTCTTTGAGAACAGGGGAAGGAAGTCAACTGTTGTTCTTAAGAAACTAAAGAAATAGGACAAACCAGAAGCCAGACGGCCGGGCGGGGGGACGGGGCCCACAGTAGGAGCACGTGAGCTTGGGGACGAGGACACCTGTATTGCATAGTGTTTCCCACCCGAGGACAGGGGGGTCAGAGTCTCCCCGAGCCCAGCGGGTCACGCGACGTCTGACCAGGGTGCTAGGGTGGGTGCAGGGACTGGGGTGGCCACGTTCCTGAAGTGGGCAGAGCAGATGCTGCCCTTGGCGGAGGGGTCGAGCTGCAGCCCCGGCTGGCAGGGCTTCGGCCACGCCAATCCGGGGGCAGTGGGGCGCAGGACGTGGCCGTGGTCAGACCGAGCCCTGAGAAGGGGCACTTGGGTGCCCGGGTGGGGGGGTCTGTGGGACCCCCGCGTTGGCTGACGGGCGCCTGTCCAGCCCCTCCCTCCCATTTCCTCCAGCGCCCACTCCTGGGTGAGCAGAGCCCAGTGGAGAGGGCCGAGGGGAAGCAGTGCGTGCACCCCTGGGTCAGCTGCAGCTTAAGGTCAAGGTTCGCAGGAGCCCCGATTGTCAGCTGGCAGGGGGTCCAGTGGGCGGCCGTCCACCCGCCTGCCCGCGCCCAGGCTCCTACCGGCCACCAGGCTGTCCCTGGGGTGAGGTGAGAAGGGGCAGGTCCACCCGCCCTTGAGAACACCAAGGGCTGGGGAGGGCATGAGCCTCACGCTCTGGAAGACGGGGCGCCCTCTTGTCCTGAGTCGCGTCGGCTGGGGCCATGGGCGGCGGCAGGCCGGTCGCGGTACGTGAGGCCCGGGCGGGGTGGCGGGCCACACAGCCACATGTGCCTTCTGTCCTCCCCGGGCGCCTGTCTGCTTTTAACACCATTCAGAGAGGAACATGGGGTAGGGGACAGAAAAAGGAGAAACCCAACAGCAACAACTTTTATATAAAAAGACCCCCCAGCTGAGCTGAGCGCCTCACAGCTGGGGGGAGCACAGCCCGCTGGTAACCGGCTGGCAATAGCTTAAAAAAATCTTTAGCTCTGAGAGGGGAGGGGGACGACCTATGTACAGAGGAAAGGGGGCGGGGGTCACGCGTGGTCGCCCACCAGGACCACGGGAGCTGCAGACAGGCTGGCTCGCTGCCGCCGCTGGGCCAGCTCCGACTGAGAAGGCGGGGACAGCCGCAGGCAGCGTGAGGCGGCACGGATGACCACGGGCTGGCCCTGCCCGGCCTCCTCCAGCGCGTCCTCCTCGCGCTGGGCCAGCTGCCGGTTCATGGCGATGGCCTCGGCAGCGAAGGATGTGAGATCTTTGGCACAGCTGTTCCTGGAGACAGGGTAGGGAGGTCACCAAGGAGAGGGAGGGGGCTTTCCAGGTGCACCCCTGCTTCCCTTGGGACCCCAGAGTCTGTGGTTAGGACTCCAGCTAGGAATCCCATCTATCACCAGGTACGAAGACACCCAGCACCTGAATGGCCCCCCCACAACTAGAAGATTTACTTTGTTCCAAACACCTTAACATTTCAAACCCTCTAACACCAAGGGCTCCCCCACCCGGGCCCAAGGACCCCGCAGGCCTCACCTCTGCAGAACCATGGGCGTGGGCAGGGTGTTCTCCGGGGCGCACTGTAGGACACAAGAGATGCGGGGCTGACGGCCAGCGCTCCCTGGGGAAACCCTCCCAGGTTCTCAGCTGGCCGTGAAACCACCGGTTTCTGGGGGCATGCACCCGGGAGCTGAGGCAGTCTGGCGGAAGCAGGGGTTACAGGGGGCAATGGCGCTCCAGGCCTCCCCTCCCCTTCTCAAGCCATTCGGTTCCTGACACCCCCGCAGGGGCACAGAGTCCCTCCGCTGGCTTGTGTCTAGCGGACAGTCCTTGCTCCCCACAAGGCTCCTTGCTCAGGTGACCGCTGGCCAGGAGAAATGCCAGGCTCTTCCAGGATCAGTGGTGACAGAGCCTTGTCCGAGGCTAGCCGCCCACCTCCCTGCCCTCTGGCTGACCTCCATCTGCTGCTGTGCCAGGCGGGGAGATGCCCCAGGGCCCTGGGCAGGAGCCGAGATTCACTACGCAGCAGCCCCCGCAGCCCCCACCCAGCCAGCCCCGGCCAGCAGCTGTGCCTGGACCCACAGAAGATGCTCAAACACCAACTCTGAGCCACTTCCGGCAGGCGGGCACTCACTCCCTGCACCCAGGGCAGGAGCCGGGACGCGCTGAGCAGCAGCTCCTGCAGTGCCCACCCAGCCCGGGCCCCAGTGGCCGGCACTCACCCCCTGCACCCAGGGGTGCTGCAGGACCTGTGCGGCACTCAGCCTCTGCTTGGCGTCACGCACCAGGAGCTTCGAGATGAGGTCTTTGGCGGCAACGGAGATGTGGGCCCAGTCCTTTTCGGGGAACTCGTACTTGCCCTCCTGGATGCTCTCAAACAGCATATTCTGGGGAGCACACACAACGGAGGGGTATTGGCCACAACCCCCACACGCAGGGGGCGAGCGTGGACCCGAAGGGCTGTGACACTGCTAAGTGACAGGCTCTGTCAGGGACCCCTGCCCAACCACGTGGCCTGACCTGTGGCTTGGGGCCCAGGTGCAAAGAACCAGGACTGGCCACCTAGACAGTGGGGTGGGGGGCCGAGGGTTCTGGGGTCAGGCAGCAGGGCGGGGGGCCTGAGGGGCCACAGAAGGCAAGGACAAAGGTCTGGAGTTGCTGGCCGTGGAGGTGCTCAGTGGGCGTTGCCTAAGTGGGACTTGGATGCAGGGTGCTCCTGAGCCTGAGTCCTGAGCCCCGGGGAGCAGGATAAAACCCAGTCACCCCAAACCACAGGCCTCTCCCCACTTCAGCTCCCTGACCCAGCTGCTTGCCTATACGGTGACCCAGGAAGGTCAGGCCAGCTCACTGCGGCTGGGGGCAGTGCCCTGGGGGCTGCGGGGATGGGCACACCTGGCAGGCCGGGCAGGCCTCCCCACGGTCCCAGCCACAGTCGCTGCCACAGTGGCCCACAAAGGGCGGGTAGCCGCTGAGCAGGATGTAGAGGATGACGCCCAGGCTCCAGAGGTCGCAGCGCTTGTCGTAGATGCTGGCCTCCTCGCTGAAGGCCTCCACCACCTCGGGGGCCATGTACTCGGCGGAGCCGCACTGCGGGCGAGGGTGGGGGTCAGGCGGGGAACAGGAGGGGGAAGGGCGCTGCGCTGCGGGACTTCCCAGAGTCACGTGAGGCGCGGGACCGCCCCGTCACTTGAGCCGAGCCGCTGTGCCCGACAGGCCTGCTGCC